GCATCTTGACTCTTGGTTTTGGCTCTGCCTCTGATATCAGGGCTGTGAGATTGAGTCCCGTGTCAGTCTCCGAAATCAGTGTAGAGTTGGCTTGAGATTCTCCCTCCCTTTCCCTCTGCCCCTCCCACTCACTCTCTCTCTCTCTCAAATAAATTTCTTTAAAAATAAAATGATCAGTGAAAATGGTATGTATATATATATATATATATATATAGTTAAATTTGAACATAAGTTTTCTCTCTTATTTTAACTTCTTTATTTTTTTTTTAAGATTTTATTTATTTATTCATGAGAGGCACACACAGAGAGAGGCAGAGACACAGGCAGAGGGAGAAGCAGGCTCCATGCAGGGAGCCCGATGTGGGACTCCCGAGTCTCCAGGATCAGGCCCTGGGCTGAAGGCGGTGCTAAACTGCTGAGCCACCCAGGCTGCCCCTTTTAACTTCTTTAAAAGTCAGCAGGCTACTTAAGGCAGAAATAATAGCAGTGTACTATAGTGTTTATAACATATGTAACAGTAAAATATATGAAAGCAATAGCATAAAGGATAGGAAGGGATGTAAATAGAATTATATGCGGAGTGGTATTATATTAATTCAAAATTGAGTCTGATAAGTTAAGGATGCATGTTGTAAATCCTAGAGCAACAACTAAAAATAACAATAATACAAAGAGGTATAAATCAAAAGCCAATAGAGGAGATGAAATGATTTACTAAAACAATACTCAGTTACCCAAATGGAGTCAAGGAAAGTAGAACAAAGGAAGAGATAGCAGTTGAGACAAATAGGAAATGAAGAGCAAGATAGCAGACTTCAACTCAACTATATCAAGAATAATATTAAATGTAAATAGATTAAACCCTCCAATTAAAGCACAGAGATTGTCAGATAGGGTAAAATAGCAGCACTCAAATAGACCGCCTACAGGAGATGTACCTTAAATATAAAAATATCCTGATAGGTTAAAAGTAAAAAGGTGGACCAAAAAATTAAAAGAATGGGAAAAGATAAAAGTAAGCATAAAAAAAGCTGGTATGTCTATATTATGCAAAGTAAACCTCAAGACAAACTACTGCATGAGATAAAGAAGGTTATTTCATAATGATAACAGAATCAATTTCTCAAGAAGATATCACCACCTTAAATATGTATATGCCTAATGATAAGTTTCAAAAATACACAAAGCAAAAATCGACAGACCAAAGGGGAGAAACAGACAAATCTACAGTCCTACTTAGAGATTTGAACACTTCTCTTTCAGCAATTGATGAATAACCAGACAAAAATTCAATAAAGATATGGAAGATTTGAGCAACACTATCCAACAACACACATACTCTCCAAGTGTACATGGAACATTCACCAAGATATACCATCTGCTACACTATGAATCAATCTCAGTAAATTTTAAAGGAATGAAACCATTGAGAGTATGCTTCCTGACCAATGCATCATTAAATTAGAAATCAAAAACAATAAGGAAAAAAGGTAACACAAGTTACCAATACCAGGAATGAAAGAAAGGGCATTACTACCAATTTTATAGACATTTTAAAAATGATAAAAGAGTACATGACAAGAGATAAAAGAGATAAAAGCATACAACTGTATGCTAATAAATTCAAAAATGTCGATGGAATGAACAAATTCCTTGGGAAACAACACAACAGAACCATCACAAGAAGAAATAGAAAGTCTCATTGTCTCTAAATCTACTAAAGGAATTGTATTCATAATTAAAAATCATCTCACACACACACACATCATCACCAGGTCCAGATGGCTTCACATTTAAGACAGGAATGATACCAAGTCTACACAAACTGAAACAGTAGAGAAAAAGGAAGAAATTTATAAATATTTTATGAAGTTAGCATAACCACAATACCAAAACCTAACCCAGACAGTACAAGAAAAGTAAAATAAATACAGCATCACTCATGAGCATAGTCGCAAAAATCATCCACAAAACATTAGTAAATCAAATGCAGCAATATATAAAGAGCATAATAAATCATGACCAAGTGGGGCTTGCAAATGCAAGATGGGTTCAACATCTACAGATCAATCAATATCATTCACCATATTGAAAAAATAAAGGAGAAAAATTATGTGATCATCTCAGCAGAAACAGGAAATACATTTGTCAACACTCAATGCCCGTTGAAGATAAAAGCACTCCTCAACCCAGAACTAGGAGAAAACTTTCTCAATATGACAAGAGCATCTAAGAAAAAAAGATATGTGCTTAATATATTTAATAGTGAAGTAATGGACCCTTTCCTCCTACAATCAGGAACAAGGTAAGAATAGCCTCTCTCTTCAGCTTTTTCCAATGTTATACAATATGTGGTTTCTGGCCAATGCACTGAAGCAAGAAAATAAATTAAAAAATAGAGACCAGAAAGGAAGAAGTAAAAATCAGCAATAAAATGGAATGAACTACTGAGACATGCAAGAGCATGAATGAATCTCAAAAACATTCTGCTGAGAGAAAGAAGGCGGACACAAAAAAGTACATGCTGCATGCTTCTATTTATATAAAATCCTAGACCAGGCAAAACTAATTTATGACAGAAAGCAGATTGGTGATCACCTGAGGGTTGCAAGGGAACTGCAAATAGAGGATTTTTCGGGGTTAACGGAGATGTTCTGCATCTCGATTAGGATGGTTGTTACCAGGATGTGCACACTTGTAAAAATTCATTAAGTTGTGCATTAAAATTTAGTTTTATTATATGTAAATAACATCTTAATGGGGGATTTTAAACATAGAGAAAATATACACCATTAAGAACATGAAAAAGTGGGTAGCCTGGGTGGCTCAGTGGTTTAGGGCCGCCTTCAGCCCAGGGCCTGATCCTGGAGACCCGGGATTGAGTCCTCCGTCGGGCTCCCTGCATGGAGCCTGCTTCTCCCTCTGCCTGTGTCTCTGCCTCTCTCTCTCTCTCTTTCTCTCTCTCTCATAAATAAATAAATAAATAAATGCATACATACATACATACATACATACATAAAATCTAAAAAAAGAACATGAAAAAGTAAGCCACAAACTATAGGAGATATAGAGAAAATATTCTCAGTACATATATCTGACAAAGGACTTGTATCCAGAACATACGGAGACTCTTACAGCTTAATAATAAAAGTAAAAAGTAAGCAAGTTTCTTTAATGGGCAAAAGACTTGAAAAGACATGTCACAAAAGATAATATATGAATGGCCAATTAGCACATAAAATTGTGCTCAAGATCATCAATCACCAGAGAACTACAAATAGAAACAACAATGAGATGTAACTATACCCTACAAGAATGTCTAAAATTAAAAAGATGAACAAAATCAAGATTTGGCAAGAATGCAGAGTAACTAGAACTCTCATTCGCTCCTGGTGGGAATGAAAGATAGTTCAACCACTGTGGATAACAGTTTCACAGTTTCTATAAAGTTATCCCTAGGCCTATCTTACAAATCAGTTATTATATTCCTAGCCATTTAGCTAAGAGAAATTAAAATGTGTCCAAAAACTGAACTGACTTGTATATAAATGTTAATAGGGACTTTTTCATAATTACCAAAAACTGGAAACAATCCAAGTGCTCACCATCAGGTCAACAGATACAGATTGTGGTGTATTTGTACCTGGAAAACTATTTAGCAATTTTTAAAAATGAACTAATGCACACAACCATGTGGATAAATCTCAAAAACATTATGTTGGGCGAAATAAACCAGGCACAAAAAAGTACTTAGTGTAAGATTTCATTTATATGAAGTTTGAGAACACACAAAGCCAATCTATGGTTGTAAAATCCATAACAGAGATTGGCTGGGTGCACAGGGGTTGATTAGAAAGGGACAAAAAGGAGCTCTCTAGGGTGATTAAAAATGTCTTAAGTCTTGGGGCACCTGGGTACCTCAGCCAGTTGAGCAGCCAACTCTTATATAGCCGACTTTTGAGCAGCTCAGGTCATGATCTCAGGGTCCTGGGATCAAGCCCCATGCCAGACTCCACACTCAGTGGGGAGGCTGCTTGAGGATTCTCTCTCCCTCTTCCATTGCCCCTTCCCCCAAATAAATAAATAAATAAATGTTTTATTTCTTAGGTCTTTATTTAAGTGGTAAGTACACAGGTATACACATTTTTCAGAATTTGTTGAACTGTGCTCTGAAAACACATGTATTCTATTGCTTTTTTATCTTCAATTTTTTAAGGTTTTATTTATGTATTCATGAGACACAGAGAGAGAGTGGCAGAGACATAGAGGGAAAAGCAGGCTCCAATGCAGGGAGCATGATGTGGAACTCAATCCCCAAACGTAGGATCACACCCTGAGCCAAAGGCAGATGCTCAAACACTGAGCCACCCAAGCGTCCCTTCCATTTTTTTTTTAAAGAAGGGTATAAAGGACTTAGCTTGGAGCTTAACACATAGTAAGTGCTCACAGCCATTAGTTTCCCTCATCTGTCACCTTTCTCATCCCCAGCAGGCACATACTGTAGGCATGACAGCGTTCTATGGCCATTGGACCTCTGAAAATAAGAATGACATTTTCCCCAAAAGAGTTGGTCCATAGCCTGACACTGGAGAGTTGCTCTAGTCTGGGCCACAGATGATAAATAACACTGATTCTGCATTTTTTCCTGGACTCTCCTGCAGGTTTTGGCTCCCAGGTCTGGATCTAGAGTCCCAATGTTCCCAGTCAAGAGGGTAGAATTTAGTTGGGTCATTCCAAGAGACCTGAGATGACAAAGTATGGCACTAAAAAGACACATGGCATGTATACAAGACTTTGAGATCAGCATTTATGGGAAGGTCATAAGACAGGAAAACTAGTATTGGAGCCAGACTGAAAGCAATGGAGTCAATGGAGTTAGATTGTCATGTATGTAGTAGATACTCGATAATTGTTGATTGAATACATGAATGAATGAGAGACTGAAGCTGATGATGCTGAACTTCCAGGGCTGACTGCTGCCCCCACCTCCTGTCTTGCAGCTCACATACCTGCCCCCACCGTGGGGTGAGTGCCGATCCTCAGAGATGGGACTCGACTTCTTTCCTGTTTACAGTATCACCGCCTGTCGAATTGACTGTGAGACGCGCTACATCGTGGAGAACTGCAACTGCCGCATGGTCCACATGCCAGGTCAGTGCCAGGGGACTCTGGGACCTTCTCTGCACTTCTCATCCTATGGGAAACACTATACCCACTCCACAAGGATCCACAGAGATGCTGTTCTGGGAAGGCTAGTATTTGGTACCAAGCATTTAGGAGGCAGATAGAAATATCTAGTCTAGCAACCAAGGCAGCATCCTGGTATCTAGAAGTGTCCAGATGTTTGAAGACTGTTCCTCATAGTACACAATAAGTTGGCTGCTCTTACCTCCTAGAGTTCAGTGTCCAGGTAGCTGAGTGCTTACAATTCTAAAACCTGGTGTGGTACCTGTTCAAACATCCAGGTGTCTGTCGCTTTCATCCAGATGGTTCCCTTCTTGCATCCAAATGTCTAGCATTCTTTCAGATGAGGCAAAAGTCCATCAGCCAGCAAATAAATGTGCATGTGCTGACACACATTTCTGTGTTAACAGACTAACAAGGCATGTAGCCATCTCATTGATGATCTCATTAGAGATAGTCAGCTAATCAGAGGCAGAAGGGCAGGAGGTGGCAGGGACATGGAAGGACTGATTCAAGCATGAAGAGTTTGGTATTGCAGCACAGAAGGAAGAACGACAGGCTGAAGGCAGAGACATCTGCCTGGAGTTCAGATTCCTCCATTCACCTGCTGTGTGACCCGGCACAAGTTACTAAACCTCTCTGTTCTTACCTTCATTATTCTTAAAATACAATCATTAGTTCTTATGAGGATAAAATTAGGCTAAAATATAAACATGCAAAAGTCAATGGTCACTGTATTAGCACACAGCGAGAGGAAACCAAAAGTACTATTGCCTGATGACCTACTATATGTTGGGAACTTTGCTATTATATTTCATGGCTACTGTTTCATAGTCATATCATACTTTAAATTTATTTAACTAAATTCTTATGTCAGACATTTAATTCATGATCGATTGTTTTCTGTGCAATCATTGCTGAAATGAACCTGCTTCTAGCTAAATTCTGAATAATTCCATCAGTAACCAACAATTTTCCTACTAATGTAAGTGTATAATTGTTGATCTTTAAAATTGCCTCTCTTGATCTTTTAAAAACTCCCAGAAGACAGAGCAAAAAGGGAAACATGTCAGTTAAATTGTTCTTGTTGGAAAGGAGGAAGCCTATAAGCTCAGCTCTTGAAAAAGATGTTTAGGGAAATAGTAAGGAAAGGACATTGTATGGCAGGTTTAACTTTAGCACTTGGCAAAAGGAAAAAAGAAGGGGTTCTGGATATACTACTGAGAGACCAGAAAGGAGAATAAAGCACTGATGAATGTTACCTGCCTGATACTCAGACCAGGTCAGCAGCCAGTGCGGTTCTCCCATGGAATCTGAGCCAAAAGCAAGCAGGAGATTTTTGTCATTCCACTCATGACATTGTTAATGGCATCTCAGTTACTAGCGTGGAATTAAGGGCAGAGCGAGAGGAGATTTACAAAGCAGACCTTTCTCACAGCAGAGGGGTGTTGCGGAAAGAGCCCTGGCCTTGGGGGTCAGAGCCCACTTCCATCACTGCCACCTCTGGTGTCCTGGGAAGGCCGGATACTTAAGCCTCAAGTTTCATATGGGTAAAACAGACACAGTATTTCCTTTTTTTTTTAATTTTATAAATTAATTTTTATTGGTGTTCAATTTACCAACATACAGAATAACACCCAGTGCTCATCCCGTCAAGTGTACCCCTCAGTATTTCCTATTTGAGAAGGTATCCATGTGAGTTAAAGGCGGTGATGCGTGCCAGAGGTAGCAGGTGCTTTCCGCCACCTCCCTGCTCTCAGCCACCCAGGCTTTCTCACCTATCACCCATCTGAGCTGGTTGGAGCAGCACAGCAATCTGGGAGAAGTTAGCTAGGTGGACCCTATTATCACCTGCTCAAGCTCACAGAGCAGAGCAGACCCAACCCCCTGGCTCCAGGTACACTGCAGCCCAATTGCCCACAGGCAGCTCTGATGGGTGGTTCCCTTCTAACTGCCCCTCCTGGTGGCAGGATGCATTCCCTTCCCCCAACCCAGGAGGGAGGTGTTGCTGCCTGAGTACCTCTCCCTGTGTCTCTTCTTTGCAGGGGATGCCCCTTTCTGTACTCCTGAGCAGCACAAGGAGTGTGCAGAGCCTGCCCTAGGTCAGTACTGGGGGACAAATGGAGTGGAGGGTTGAGACCTCAGAGGCCTTCTGGGTGTGGGAGAAATGGGATGGGACAGAAGGGGGAAGGAATAGAGCGGGAGGAGGGGCTGACAGGGAGTGGGGGCTGCACTGCAGAGACAGAAGAGGAGGAAGGAGATAAGGGTGGGGAAGGAAGGATGCAGGGATGCAGGCAGGTAGATGAGGGCTGACCAGGCACTGGGGGAAAGAAAGAAAGTAGAGAGGTGCAAGTAGAGATAGAGTGGGTTTCCTGGAAATGGAAAGCACCAAGGGAATGCAGAGGAGGGGACAGAGATGGAGAGAGGATGCACAGTGGGCATCTGGGTGGGCACCAAAGGAGGTAGGGGAGAGCAGGGGCAGCCGGTGTGCATTTCCTTGCCATCATCGTCCTCCTCCTCCTCCTCCTCCTCCTCCTCCTCCTCCTCCTCCTCCTCCTCCTCTTCCTTCTCCTCCTCCTTTCCTCCTCTTGCTGGGTGCTTGCAGGTTGGAATAACTGCTGGATTCCCCCACTGGAAGTGTTCCTTCCAGTGGGGGAGATCCCACAAAGAAGCTACAACCCCAGAGCTTGACCCACTCCACATGCCTGCCTCTCTTGGGACCTGGGAAGTGATCTATAATGAAGACAAACAGAGAGGGTGTTTAAATCATATGGGCTCAGTTTCATTCAGCAGCTGCACTTGCTAGAGCTAAAGGGGGATGGCTCTGGACTCGTGCATGCGCCCAGATGCTTCCAGAAGGACTGGTGGGGGAGACGGGGCTTAGATGAGAGGGAGAGGCTTCTGACGTGGACCAAGACATCTCTCTTTGGAGTACAGAATCGACAAAGCCTGTGTGTAACACTGCGATGAGCAGACAGACGGAGGGAGGGAAGTGATGTCTTCAGCCACCCCATCCTAGGGGATGAGGGGAGCAGAGGGAAGGAAGCGTTCCAGAGCAGGGAGGTTGCTTCTAGGGACAGGAATTAGGGATCTTTGCTTGTGCCCTAACCCAGCAGGCAGGACAGGCAGGCTCTGGCAAAGAAGGAGCCGCAGAGGGAACGCCACGGAGACCTGGGCTTCAGATAAAATGGTCTCCCACGTTTGCCCTTGACGGGAGGCCCACTTTGTGGATGAGAACACTGAGGCTAGGAGCAGAGAAGGCGGCTCTGGGAAGCTGAAGGGGCCAGGACTCCCCGGGAGCGCGTTCTCCGAAAGTGATGCCTTTTCAACAATTTTTAAAGAGCAACATAACAATAAAGGAAGTCAGAGGAGAAGAGGATCAAGAGAAACATGGAGAGTGAACGCCTTTTTAATGAGAGCTCACAGCCTCCCCAGCCTAGAGCCAAAGCCCAGCTCCGCCTCCTCAGGCCCCGCCCCTCACCGCCCCGGGAGGGCACCTCCCCCCAGCCTGGGCCCGCCTCCCGCACCGCGGGCCCCGCCCCCACCTCGGACTAAGCCCCGCCCCCTCTCCCCTCCAGGTCTGCTGGCGGAGAAGGACAGTAATTACTGTCTCTGCAGGACACCCTGCAACCTGACCCGCTACAACAAAGAGCTCTCCATGGTGAAGATCCCCAGCAAGACATCAGCCAAGTACCTCGAGAAGAAATTTAACAAATCAGAAAAATATATCTCGTAAGCTAAGTGGGCCTGGCAGGCATAGGGCAAAGGGGTGGATGCCGGAGGAACCGGGGGTCATTGAGGAAGACGGCAAAGGGAGGCAGTTGGCTCCATTTGGCAGATACTAACCGAACTCAGCTGTGTGCCAAACTCTGTGTTGAGGACTCAGAAAGCAAAGACAAAGATAGTTAGGATGCAGCCCCTGGACTTTCAGGAGCATGAAGGAGTATTCCAGGCAGGCCTTGCACATTCTCTTCCCTCTGCCTGGAATGTTTTCCTCTCACACTTTACCTAACTGGTTCCTCATGTGCCAGTCTCCATTTATTTTTTTTTTAGATTTTATTTATTTATTCATGAGGCACACACACACAGGGAGAGGGAGAGAGAGGCAGAGACATAGACAGAGGGAGAAGCAGGCTCCATGCAGGGAACCCGCTGTGGGACTCCATTCAGGGACTCCAGGATCACACCCTGAGCTGAAGGCAGATACTTAACCACTGAGCCACCCAGGCGTCCCTGCAAGTCTCCATTTAAAGGTCATCCCCTCAGAGGCGCCTGGGTGGCTCAGTTGGTTGGGTGTCTGTCTTCAGCTCAGGTCATGATCCCAGAAGTCCTGGAATCAAGTCCAGGTCAGGGTCCCTGCTTAATAGGAAGTCTGCTTCTCCCTCTCCCTCTGCAGCTCTCCCTGCTTGTGCACGCTCTCTCTCCGTATGTGTTAAAGAAATAAAATCTTGGGCAGCCTGGGTGGCTCAGCAGTTTAGTGCTGCCTTCTGCCCAGGGCATGATAGTGGGGACCCGGGATCAAGTCCTGTGCCGGGCTCCCTGCATGGAGCCTGCTTCTCCCTCTGCCTGTGTCTCTGCCTCTCTCTGTGTGTGTCTCTATGAATAAATACAATCTTTAAAAAAAAAAAAAAGAAAGAAAGAAAGAAAGAAAATCTTTTTTATAAATAAATAAAAGTCATCTTCTCAAACAGCTAACTTGGTGCCCCTCCCTTTATTTTCCTCTGAAAGCACTCTGGTATTTTCCTTTATAACACTCACCAAAGTGTGTAAGTCTGTATTCCTGTGTGTGCTCCCTACTAAACTGCAAACTCCCTGAAGGCAGGAGCCTTTCCTTTTGTTCTCTGCTGTAGAGTGTCTGGCACAGAGTTGTCACTCAAAGAATATCTTCTAACAGATGAAATGAAGGAAAGCTAGGGGAGGAGAGGTGTCACAAGCAGAGGCTGAGCAGAGAGGATGGGCATGGGGCAGAGCTGCAGCAGGTGGATGCGTCAGAGCCAGAGGGACTTGTGGGCTGAGCTGGCCGTGGGGTGGGGCACTGGGAGGGGACTTGCCCCGAAGAGAATAGGGAGCCTCTGAAGAGCTCTGAGTGGGTGTGTATTTTAGACGACTGCCCTGCAACAGAACTTTCTACAAAGATGGAAATGTTCTGTATCTGTGATGTTCAATGTAGGGGCCACTAACCATCTGTGGCTGTTGCACATTTTAAACGTACCTGTGTGACTGAGGGACTGAACTGTAATGTGACTCAGTTGAGCAGTTTTAGAAAGATCCTTCAGGGGGCAGTGCAGAGGACAGAAGGGAAGCCAGGCAGGGAGGGAGGGAGCCTGGCAAGAGGCAGTGGCCATCACTCAGACAAGCCACGGTGACACTTACATGGGGTGGAGGATTTGCCTTTCTCTCACCAGCCAACCCCACCCACCCACCCACCCCCGCCAAGGCCAACACCAAACCCATCCTGGGTTCAGCTTTGGCTCAGCAGGCTGAGAACAGGGGGTACTGAAGCCATTGTGACCAGTGTGGAAGGAGATGGGGAGTAGGAAGTGCCAGGCCACACTGCCGAGCAGACATTCTGCCAGCAGCAATGACTTTTCCTGCCAAAATGTGTCTTATTAACACACCTTCCTAAAGGAGCAAAAGGGAACCGGGAACCCCCCCTTCCCAGCTAGGTACAGATCTGCTCCCTAAAAGCCCTCCCTGACGCTGGCAGCTGCCTTGGCAGTGCTAGACTCGGGGCTGCCCACTAGGAGAAGCTTGTTATAAATCCAAGATGGAACATGGGGGCTCTCACGAGTGGGTAGGGGGTACCCAGCAGGTCAGCTGGCACAAGCAAGGCCAGAGAGTGAAGAGCTTGTCAAGAGAGTACTGAGCAGAGGTGCCTGGGTGGGTCATGGGCTCAGGGCGTGATCCCACAGTCCCAGGATCCAGTCCCACATCGGGTTCCCTGCAGGGAGCCTGCTTCTCCCTCTGCCTGTGTCTCTGCCTCTCTCTGTGTCTCTCATGAATAAATAAATTAAATAAAATCTAAAAAAAAAAAAAAAAAAGTACTGAGCTCACCTGCAGGTGACAAACCAGGCAGATCTTTTAGAGGCTCAGAGACCTGGAAACCAGGCAGGACTCCTGGAAAGGAAACAAGGAGGGGACAGCCGAGGGGCAGCGGGTCTATAAAGAGCACAGGGCTGGGGGAGCGGTCAGAACTCTGGGTTCCGAGGCCAGCTCTGCCACTAACCAGATCTAACTTCGGGGCTGGCTGTTGCACTTTCCCAGGCTCAGCCTCTCCTGCCGTCAGTGGGAAAGCTGTCAGATAATCCGTGCGTAGCCCCCAATGGTTTTCACCCCATATGATACTGAATATTCCCTCTGCAGAGAGAACATCCTTGTTCTGGATATATTCTTTGAAGCTCTCAATTATGAGACAATTGAACAGAAGAAGGCATATGAAGTCGCTGCCTTACTTGGTAAGTCAGTGTCTGCTGCACTAATTTCCACATGTCGCGGTGGGGAGCAAGGGGAGCGAGGGGGAGCAGGCAGGGGGTAGGCAGGCAGGCAGATAGGTATATGCACCTTCTGAGGAGTCTGGGAGTAATTAACGTGCTAATTACTCCCTCTGTCCCAGAAGGGGAAGGACTCCAACGTGACAGGTTTGAGGCCCAGTTCATGCCCCAGTTCAGGCCTGAGTTTCCCCATCGACACCAAAGGCAAGTAAACCAGAAGGCCTCTCAAGGCCTTTCCAGCACTGCCCTGTCAGATTCCTGGGTCTTCTGCCCCCAGGTTGGAGTGAGCCCCAGGGCCACAGTGGGAAGAAAGAGCTGTCGGGTGGAGGGAAGGTTGAGCTGTGGGTGGTCCCCAGGCAATAAGGGTCCCCCCGGATGGAGCCCAACCTGGAAAGCAACATTGCAGCATTGAGGCCAGATGTTCCCTGTAGACTGAGAGTCCTTTGTCAAACACAGAAGAAGGGCCACATGTCCCCAGATGTCTACAAACCTGACTGCCACCCCCACACAAGTTCACGTCAGCAACCCTGGCCGCATAGGCACATAATGGATGCAGGGAGTTTATTTCAACCCTGCCCCACCCAATGCAAAACCCACAAGACCTCCAAGGGTGGACAGTTAAAAGACCTGTCCCTGGGGCCCTTCTCCCAACTCCTACTCACTCCCAAGAAAGGACATGTTGCTGTCCCTACGAGGAAAATCAGCTGCTATTGTCTCTGGAAGCTGGGTAGATTGAGAGGGGTATCCCTGGGGGCAGTGGGCTGGTGGAAGGGGAAGTAGAGATGTACAGTGTCACACTGCTGCATACCAGCTACGAGAATATATGTCAGGTCCCTCATCTGTAAAATGGGTCTAACAAAACCACTTGATGAGTTTATTGTGATGGCTAGCTGGGATAAAGCACACACACACACACCCCCAAAGAAGGTCCATACAGAGTAGTTTCTGGTACCTGGACAGTCACCATGCCAGGCACCCAAGGCCCAGCTGGTGCTTCCAGATGCCATCTGAGCATCTCTGCTCCTCTCCTAAGAGACTGGGGACTGGGCCACAGCTGGCACTGGCTGGGATAAGGTGGTTGTCACTTGGGTCTCAGAGACTGTTGTGGCCAAAAAGGAATGAGCCAAGAGGTAGAGTCATGCTCCGGAGATGTAGACCCCCTCGCTCTGCCTCTGTCACCTTGTCCATTTCCTAAAGAGAACTAAAGACAGGGCTCTTCCTACCCTCCCCAACATAGGCCCACTGTTCTCTCTCACTCGTGCTCTCTCTCTCTCTCTCTCTCTCTCTCTCTCTCTCTCTCACACACACACACACACACACACACACAGGCACGCACTGAGGAGGGCCTGACTTCTGAATCTGTCAGAAAGGATAGCTCATCTCTGCATCAGATATGAGGATGAGCATGTTCCCAGCATCTTGTTCCCACCCAGAATAGCCTGCTGAGAAAATCACTCTGCCATCTGTACCTCCCATGATGAGCGTGTGCCACTCGCAAATCCTCGGGCCCTTCCCTCACCACCATGCTGCCCACCCTCACCCCAGTGCACACCGCACATGCCCTCATGCCACGCATAGCACACCTCATCCCAAAGTGTGGCACATGCATGCCCACGGTGGTGAGCTACACATGCCAGTGCAGATAAGCACAGACCTGCATGCAGGCCACGCGGCAGCAGAGACATGTATGTGCATACACACTACGTGTCTACAGACGCATCACGTACACCTGCCTGTACACAAACATGCTCACACACGTTCTACACACTCAGACACACTATGTCCACCTCCACAAAGCCACACTCACACACACTTAGACACACTCAGTGTCCCTTCCCTAGCCATAAGTAGCCACCTGCATAAACCCATTGATAGCCAGCTGTCTCTTGCTTCTACACAAACATGCATGCACAGAGCACCCTGGCACATACCCATACTCAATCACACTGTATGCTCGTGCAAACACACACCTCAAACCTGACCTGTATGTACATCAGTAAGTACATACTTCCCAGTAACGCCCCCACTAAGGGCAGGAGAGGGAGTAGGGTGGGAGGGGAGTAAGGGGAACATTTGGAGCCCCCTCCCCATCCTCTCTGCCTGCTTCCCTGGGACTGGTTGCCAGACTTCCCTCAGCCGTGATCAGGGATGGAGAGGGCAGGTGTAGCCAACAGATAGTCCTCAGATCTGGGGTCTCCAGGAAGACTGTGCACCCATGCCGGCAGCACCCTCTTTCCCAGCGCTCTCCCTGCCCAGCCCAGCAGCTAACAGTCAGAGGGGTTCCAGCTGGCAAGCACCTCAAGCAATCTCCTCAGCTCCCCTCTCCACCAAATGCCTTCTGAAGGCAAAGCTACCGAGAAGGTCAGGGTTTATCAAAGCCATGCAGCAAGTCAGTAGCCACTCTCCCAACTCAGCCTCTGAGCCCTGAGCCCTCAGCCTCTGAGCCCTCTGCTCCACCACACTGGCTCCGGAGCACAGCATTGGGCTTTTGCAGGCACAAGAACCCCTTGCAGAATCTGACGATAGCTTCTCCAATAGGGACTCTTCCACTACAAATGCCCAGGTACATACATGTAACATTTTGCACTCAGTTTCAAAGGGTCTCAAAAAAAAGGGGGTGGGGCTCTCCAACCATCTGCAACTCCCACAAAAGAGTTGTTCTTGAGCCCTGGTGGGCAAGAGACACCTGGGAACTTAAAAATCCTGACTTCCAGACCCCAACCCCAGAGATCCTGATTGAAAAGACCTGGGGTAGGTCCAGGCATCTACACCCCAGGCAGGTCTCCTAGGAGGGGACCTGAAGACCAGTCAAGAAGGACTTTGGTCAGTGGGGCCTGTACACCCCAAGGCAAGAACCTCTACTCTAGAAAAAGACCAAATTGAACAGTTACCTTCAGGTAGGGGAGTTAGGGAATGCTTCCTACAACCTCATCCTGAGGGTGAAACGTACCCTATGTACGGGCCTCGTCATGGTGGTGGGAGCAGGGGAGAGAGTCTCTTCTCCTGTGCCATTGACCCTGAGATCCTTACCCAGGGCACCTGACATCTGACTCTTGGGCTAGACTGTCCTCGCCCCAGATGAGGTTCTTGTCTCACCTTGTGTCTAATCCCAGCCCAGAGCCAGAGCAGGGCCCACTCAGTGTGGTTCTGAAGGTAACTGAATGAGCCCAATGGCCTGTGAGGTCTACTCTAGGTCCTCCAGTAAGCATCTGCGTTAGTTCCCATCTCCACTGGGTGCTTTGCAGCATGAGAGGGAGTTATCCAAGGCCTGACCTGTTCCAGGCCCAGGCTCCCTATGGATGGGGAGCCATTCCAAAGGTCTGGTTTCTGGGTACACCGTTCGCCCCTTCCAAGAAGTGCCATGAGTAAAGCCAAATCTTTGATCTTTTCTCTCTCTCCAGGTGATATTGGTGGTCAGATGGGATTGTTTATTGGTGCTAGTATCCTTACAATACTAGAGCTCTTTGATTATATTTATGAGGTAAGATTGGGGTTGTTCATGGGAAAATGACCATCTGCTGGGACCCTCATCCTACCTCAGTGTTCAGAACCAAAGCATGGGGGGTGGGGGGAGGATGGCCTCCTTTCACCCAGAGCCTACTTCCCCCTCCCTACCTACAGAGATTTATCACCAAGTCCTAGGCAGGGAGGAGGAGGAGGGTCTGAGAGAGACTGAGGCTGGCTCCTGTCCTCAGGGAACTGGAAGAGCTGTGGGCTGTCCACACTTGAAGAAAGGGAGAGGGAGGGTTGAGAAGAAGAGCCCAAATGGAGGCCAGCTCTGAGCCCCTCCCACACAAGACCAGCTGTGGTGGCCTCACACCTGTGTGTGTCTGTGCCCACACACTCACAGCACATGCATGCGCACACCACTCACACACATCACTCACAAATGCACACACACACCGTAGACATACCACTCACTCACACATATACACTGCATTCACACAACACACACAGGCACACACCTGCCTTCCGGGTGGCCCGTCACCTGAGAAGTACCTGCCCTGGTACTGGCAGGTTTAAGGAAGGGGCATTTTTGGCAGACTCCACCAATCCTGAGCAAGAAGAGCAAGAGCACACAGGCCATTTCTACCAGTTCATAGCCTGAGATATCTCCCTCAACAGCAGCTGGAGCAGAGCTTCTGAAAGCTCTGAGGGCACCAGACAGTGGCTTCTAGCTCTGAGCATTTTGGCACTCCTCAGCCTTCCCCTCCTCTCCCCACCTCACCCAGAGCCAGGCAGGCTTAGAGAGCTCCAGAATTCATTTTTTTTAAGATTTTATTTATTTATTCATAAGAGAGAGAGAGAGGCAGAGACACAGGCAAAGGGAGAAGCAGGCTCCATGCAGGGAGCCCGATGTGGGACTTGAACCTGGGAATCCAGGATCATGCCTTGAGCCAAAGGCAGGCACTCAACCACTGAGCCACCTAGGTGTCCCGGGCTCCAGGATTCTTAAGGGGACTCCTCAACATCCCCAGGACCACCTGAGTTTCAGTCCAGTAAGAGTAGCCTGCAGAGCGGCATTCTTCCTCCCAGAGAGGGTTGTCCTTGGCTAAAGGCCACTGGGAAATGTTGTGGGGACCTGGAGAACCCCTGAGGCCCACTCCACCTCCCAGCATGGTGACCTTGCTCCCCAAACCCAAATCAGGCTCCCTGGCCAGATCTTATTCTGCTTTGTTTATTAATTTTGGTGAAAAGCTGTATATAAAGTTATGGAAATCGCATCATACCAGGTAACATGTTTAATGCCCACCCTTTATTGCTAAGAATCAAATATTATCAATTCAGGGGTGCCCTGATCTTATGAACAGTGGGACTGTCAGGCCTCATCCCCCTGGCTCAGCCTCAGAAATGGTCTCCTAGGCTGTTCATGCACACCCTCTGTCCGCAAGAGAAAAACAGTCCCCATGCCCATGGGCCCTCCTCTGACCTCCCCGCCAGGCTCTAGCTCCTGCACCAAAACCTCACTTCAGCCAAAAGCTTGGGGAGGGGCTCCCAGAACTGGTGCCAGGCTGGGCTGAGCCGAGTCAAGGGAGGTCCTCTACCTTTGCCCCATTCCCCCAGCCTGACGAACCTTGTCCTGATTTTCTTGCAGCTGATCAAAGAGAAGCTCTTAGACTTGCTTGGCAAAGAAGAGGACGAAGGGAGCCACGATGAGAACGTGGTAAGAGAAGCCCGTGCACCGTAGGTTGTCCTAGTCCCCTGCTCTTGCGGGCCTTAGGAGACCAGGTGCCAGGCCGGGGCAGGAAGGACGCCCCTCACCGCACACCTTAACGTGGCTTGTCGGAGGACACTCCCATGTGCCCCAGGCCCGATAGCAAGCCATGGGCACAGGGAATTCCAGGAGCTGCTGCGAGGGGAGGTCCTGGCTGGCGCAGTCCAGCTTGTCCAGGGCCAGGGGGCTACTGCTCTCAACTCCTGCCGTGGGAGAAGCAGGAGGCCCTGCTCCCTTATTCCTCAGGGCAGCAAAATGCAAGTAAGGATGTCACTGGTGCTCTATTCCATTTGAAGGGGACACAGAGCTCGGGGCCCCGTGAGGTTGGTAGCAGCAGTGATACCCATCATAACTGCCAATACCATGTGCCAGGGACCCAAATGGCACTGTGCCATGTGCCTGAAGAGTGCCGTATGGCTTCAGCTGCAGTTACCCCAGAGAAAGGTCTTTTCTTATCTCCATTTTGTATTTGAGGCACTTGAGGCCCAAAAGCCCACGGTCCCCCAGCTGGTGAGTGGCAGAGCTGGACGCAGAGCTCCCCTGACCCCCGTCCTGCTCTGCCTCTCTTGGGGCTCTCTGCTCTCCTTCCCAAGGCTCGAGCCTCGGCCGCCTGGTGTCTCCAGCTCTCCCCAGAGGAGACTTCTGCCCTGGCAGCACCACGCCCACTAGGCAACCACCCCCCAACCCCCCAAGTCAGCAGATCCAAAATGAGGCCAGCCCCATCCCCCAGACAGGCCCCCATTTCTGTTCCAGACACTATTTCTCTACCCACCTCCTAGGCTAAAAAAATCTCTGCTTTGGTTCTCTCTGGCCCCTGCGGCTCCGTTGAGTAGAAGACTGAGGAGGGGAGGGCAGGTGGAAGGGGCCCAGGCTCTGGACTCAGGTCCGCAGCTGTGTGTAGCTGCGTACCCCAGCATCTGCAGACTCACAGGGACCTCGGGCAGTCGATGTTTGGATTCAGTGGGGCTGTGCCTATAAAGCCAGCAGCAGTGCCTAGTTTATAGTAAGTGCTCAGCAAGTGGAGGTTCCCTCCCTCACGCCACCTTCCTTCTGCCCTCAGAATGTCTCCAGTTACAGCCTTCCCTCTGCCCCCTACTCCTCCCCTAGATTCTCCCCCTCCCATCACTCCCTCTCCCCAACCCCATCCTCATCAAATCTCCACAACATTCTTGGCACAGCCTCCTAGGCAGTATCTGCTCCCATCCCTCCCAGCCTCCAGCCTGCTTCTGCAGCCTGGGAGTCACTGGGCAGACGCAAGGCCCTCCCAGCCTTGCCCTGCTCAGGGACCTGAGACTGTTTTCCTCTGGCCTAACCCTAAAGCTCCATTGTGACTCCTCTGCTTCTGGGTTTTGGGGGCCTCCCCACTCCTCTTTGGCCTCAGCAATTGGCCCCCCTTGCCCCAAGTCTAGCCACAGGCTCTACCTTCTCCATCCCAAGTAGGTCTCAAGGGGGACCCCCCAGGATGAGGGCGGGGAGATATCCTCCTGCCCCATAACTAGAGAGCACTCAGATGTAGATTCAGGTGGCACGTTAGGGGCACCTCTAGAAGAGAAGTTCAAAGCAGCTGCTGAGTCCCATCACCAGGGAGCCCTCTCCCCACCCTGGGGGCACCTAGATGGGCAGTGGTAAGGCAGCGAGCCTCCCCACCCAAGCCTCGTGCCTCACCACAACAAACCAACCCCAAGATGTCTGGGGCAGGAGCAGTGGTGCCCTGGGGAGAGCCCACAAGCAGGCCTACGGTTCCCAGGGCCTAGGCTGGGCTGCCCATGGCATCGTGATGCCATTTCACAGAAGGAATCTCAACACCCACTGTCCCCCCTCCCTCCAGAGCACTTGTGACACGATGCCAAACCACTCTGAAACCATCAGCCACACTGTGAACGTGCCCCTGCAGACGGCCCTGGGGACCTTGGAGGAGATCGCCTGCTGACGGCCCTCGGACCACCTGGCACCCCCCAAACAGACCTGGAGGCCCGAGACCCAGGACAGGGGACAGCAGGCTCAGGTGGGACAGCCCCCGATGACAGAAAGAAGCAAGAGCCCCCTATGCACACATAGCAAACTCTCTGCCAAAACCTCGCTGCGGCCACGTCTGACATGACGCGTCCTCGGGCCCCGCCGTGCGTCCCTCTTAGGAGAAATGAGTCACACTCTGGAACTGTCCAAGAACCAACCTGCCATCACATCTCACTGCCAGATGTATAAAGCACCTGCATGCTCAGACTGCTCACGGCGCCACCTCCACGTCTGTGTCTGTACACGACTCTCCTCCGTGTGCTTTCTAGCGGCCACTCTGCAGCCGTGCAGTGGGACCAGCTTCCAGCCCCAGGGTCACCTGTGGCCACGCTGGAATCACAACTGCAGTCAAGGGGGAAAGCGTAGAACTCTCAACCACGTCCGGTCCTTGTGTACTTTGTGAAGGTTCTTAACCTGCCACAAACCCCTTCCCCGAGCTGGCCTGTGGGCTGACCGGCCGCCCCCCCCCGACCCTGGCTCAGCGCCTGGGGGAGGCAGGGTGGCCTGGGCAGCTCCGGGGCTCATCCATGGGACCCACATCATTCTGCTGTCCCCGTGACCCAGCTTGTTTCCTTTGGGGGGCTTGTTTTGTCTGTCTGTCCGAGATCTGTTTTTGTTTTGTTTTGTTTTGTTTTCCGAATTTGGGTTTTGATGTTCTGAGGTTTGGTTTGATTTGGTTTTTCCATTTTCTCTGGCGTTTATTTATTCGTGCTTCCAGTCACGGTCATATTAAAAGCTGGTCTTGTGGAAACGGCTGAGTCGGTGCTGCCTTTTCCCCATCAGGGCTCCCTCCCTGAAGCCTTTTGAAAGGGCTAGGCCTGCCAGATCCAGACCGACAGATTATATATATATATATATATATATATATATATATATATATATATATGAAGCTTCCTGCAACAACACTTAGCTTTACCAAGTGTACAGAGTGCATGCACTTCTAGTCTATTCTAAATCTCTAAACACTATTGGTTGCAGCCTCATAAATGATTTCATGACCACTAACAAGTGACAGCCCGTGCTCTGAAATGACGCAATCCTGGACCAGAGGTGTGTGGCTTGAAGAGGCAGGGGGTGCAGAGGTGGGGCAGGCAATGAATGCTGCCCAAACCTAAAAACCATGAAAAAAGCCTCTGTCTTCTGTCCTGACTCCTCTGACTCTGGCCTCCCTCCCGCACACCAGTCTCTCTAGGCCCTCTGCACCCCACCTCCTCTCCTCACCCACATCAAACAGACCTGCCTGTCCCTGCAGAGGTCACACTGGCTTCCTGCCTTTCTCCCCAGCTGAGAGACTGTCCAAGTGGGAAAGGTGGATGGAGGTGCCCCATGGGGAGAGGGCAGACCCTTCTGAGCCCCTCTGTGGCAAAAGAGAGCTTCCCATCTGGGCAAAATCCTTGTGCTCGGGATCATACTCATTCCAGGGCACAGGTTCCTGTAGCCTAAGCTTTACTTTCCCGCCTTCCCCCACCACTCACAACCCCAGGTCTCCCCCAGAGCCTCATGTGGTTTGTACCTTCCTCTTCATGCACAGATGTACAGAAGGCACTGGCTGGACCAGGAGCTTGGGGCTGTGGCCCTGGCTCTGCCTTCCAATCTCTATCCTGATCTCAATCCCCCTCTGTCGTCTCCCCTTCTCTCCCCTGCCCGATCCACTCCTACACAAGGAAAAGGTTTTCCCCAGGGACCTACTGAAAAGAACCTGGCCCCAGGAGTTAGGAAGGCTCTCCAGCACCTTCTTGCAGCAGCCGTGTGATGATGGACACCTGCACCTCTCTGGATTCAGGTCCCTCAATTTGAGGATGAAAATAATATTGTACCTGTGTCTTCACAGATGATTTCAGAGGCCTCTTCAGACTTGAGGCACATGACAGCACTACTCCCCCTGTGCGGAGGGGGATGAATCAAAGCAGCCATGCCCAGACACATACAGTGGCCAGGAGGCGGCTGGGACACAGCATCCCTGAGATGCCTCCTCCCAGTACCTTCTCAGCTGGGCTTGCCTGGTGCTGTTGGCCAAGGCGAGCTTTAATTCTTAGGAACTGAGCGCAATGCCGCTGGAAGGCACCCTGTTTTCATTTTCTACCGCCACTATAACATAATTACAACAAACATAGTGGCTTAACACACAAATTTATTGTCTTCGACCTCTGGAGGTCAGAAGGCTGACAGGGATCTCACCAGGCTAAAATCTAAGTGTCAGCAGGCCTGGGTTCCTTCCAGAGGCTCTAGAAGAGAAACTGTTTCCTAACCTTTTCCAGCTCCTAGAGGCCACCCACATTCTGTGGCTGGTGGCCTTTTCTCCCATTGCCAACTCTGCAATGGTGGATAGAGTCCTTACCTCACACAACCATGACCTCCTGGGTCACACCTCCCTCTATCCCATAGATGTGACCCATCTCTCTTCTCTTGACCCCTTCTTCCACTTTAGAGGGACTCTTATGATTAGACCAGGCTCTCCTGATAACCCATGATAATGTCCCCATTTTAAGGTCATTAACTTCATCACAAACTTCAAAGTCTCTTTGGCCACAGGGGATAACATATTCACGGGTGCCAAGAATTAGGACGTGGCCATCTTTGGGGGCCACTGTTCTACCTACCAAAGGCCATTTGGAGCATATAGCCTACTGCCCTCATTATTCAAATGAGCAGACCCAATAGAGGAGGGGAGGAACTTACCTAACATCACACAGTGAATTCATGGCCATGCCAAAGCCACTCCCAAGCGTCCAGGCTCACAATTCCATTTGAAAATTCCATCTAGACCCACAACATGACGCAAAGCAAGAAACATTGAAAGTGATCATTTGTCCAGACATTCCCAGGGCATGGAAATCCCTCTCCTTAGACAGACACATGCCCCACTGCATCAGGCTGGAAAATGTCCTTCTGGTGCCTAGACTGTCAGATGCAGAGGAACAGTGAGCATTCTCAGACTGCTCCCATCGAGGACAGAAACAAATGAAATGTCTGTTCAGTGAGTTGGGAATCTACTGGATACTTCTGCCTTGTTCCAGTTAACAGTTTCGTAAATGTTTTTAAAATCTATAGCTAAAGTTGCAATTTGAACTTCTTCATTGGATTTCTGCCTTCCTTTCAAAAAAAGAAAAAAAAAGAAAGAAAGAAACTTCAGATCAATTTGTGATGGAGCAAAGAATATTCTAATGGGTTTGGATTGCCCCAAGCCTCACATATGTACCTGCCCCTTCCAATTTGGGGATTTTAGTTTTGTTCATTTTGGAGCAAATCTACATACTTAACCTGTTAAAGGGAAAAAGATAGGAAATTCAAGAGAGCAAATTAACAGCTCTGTGTACCAATCAGCTACTGATTGGTATTAGCCAGTTGTTAACTAAAGACACAGTTGTACACCTGAATTCTTGAGAGTGGTGGTGTATTCTCTTCTTATTTCCAACAAGTAGCCATGTGTGTAATCATTTCCTCAGTGAAGACCTGGAGACATTTGGTAGACAGAAGAGACTCAGGAACGTGTCACATTTTCGAGAGAGACCCAAATGATGACCAGAGGGCCAGGAGTTTAGAGCAGTCACAAGCCCAAACCACACATCGAATTATCAGTAATCTCAAAGAACTAAATCAATCATTCGATCCATCAAATAACAGCACATAACCTCAGAAACAGAATCAGTGGGGTTTGCTGCAGTTAGGGGCAGTGGGAGGAAAAAGCATTTCTGTGAGTAGCCATGCCAAGGACTGAGCTAGCTGCTTGCACACTGTTGCTTTGTTGTTTTTGGCAGAGAGAAGCGGAGTTATTTTATTTTCCTCTTTCCAGCTTGAAGCTATTTTTGTAAGAGTCTTTATCATGAACACGCCTAGTGAGAAAGGTTCACAGAGGGTCTCTGGAGAAAGGATCTTGGTGAGCGGGGAAGGAGGAACTCAGAGGCAGACACCACCCAGGGGTGTGATCTTGGTGGGTACCATGTTTGCTCAGGGGGAGCTCAGCTCAGCCTGCCTGACCCTAGAGGCCCAAGGACCTGGGACCTCTTCCTCCACAAACTCCAAGATTTTAATTTAATTTTGAAAATTAACCTCGGAGCAAAGGCGAGGGCCTTCAGAAAGCACCAGTGAATGAGCTCCCCCATTATAGAATAGAGAAGGAGGCTCTGGGGGCCAAGGATGCTGCTGGCCCTGATCCATCACACCCAGAGCAACCCTATGCTGCTTGATGAGCTCCCTGGCTTAGCTGGGAAGCAGAAACACAGAAAGAACACAGGATCACTATTTATTTCAACTCCCATTGATTGGCTGTCCATTATATGCTGGGAACTTGCCCCTAAGGAATTTATCATCTGAGCAGGGAATCCCGACAAGTAAACACACGACTATAAAGATGAACCCAAGTTCAGAGAACAAGAGAGCAGCACATGCCAAGCCTGCAGGTCAGGGAGTGCTAGAGAAGGGACACCGCCATGTAGGTCCAGGGAACCCAAGAGAAGAAGGGGAAGGGAAAAATATCCAAAATACCACTTAGAGATTAGCAGGTGCAAAGGATGGGAGATGTGTCATGGCTGAAGCCCTTCAGCTCCTTCCCTTGCCCTCCAAGTGTCTATAAAGATACTTTCCAGCCGAGGGTTGATTTATTTAGCAAATGGCTTTCTCCTCATTCATCTGAGACTCCTGGCACACGGAATCATTTTGTACTTGTATATTCCAAGGGCTAATAGGTTGGGTGCATTAGGGACCAGAAGTTCCCTGGGGACCAAGAAACAGATCAGTGGAAACCAATCCAGCCTGAGGATGGGTGAGAGGAGGAAAGTCTCTTACTGATTCCATTAACATTTGTGGAAATCTATGCTCACTGATTTTGCAAGAGCAAAGCAACAGTGGCAAAGGCTTTAAAGAGAGAGTTAAAGGATTGGATCTCCAACCCATTTCTGCTAAAAACTGACCATAGAACATTGGACAAGTTACCTCACTTCTCTGGACCTCAGTTTCCCCCTCTATATAAGAAGAGGGGGTGGAAAACGAAGAGACATCCTTTGGTGTGCCCTAACTTTAATGGTCTATGAGTATAAGCCAAGAATGGGAATCAGGCATCCAAGCTAGTATTTAATGATGCCAGGTTTGGGCGGGGGGGATTATGAGGATTAAATAAGCTAAGGTAATACTTTCTCTCTTCTTTTCTTTTTACTTTCTGTAACACATTGATTCTTAAACTTGTTTGAATTCAAAATAAGGTGAAAGCTAGGAACTCTCTCTCCCCAGGAAAAAAAATGCACATGGTCATGAAAATATATATGCATTTTGCATTTTATTTCAGGAGGGTTATGGACTCCTCCTCCCCCAGAGCCCATCTGTGATCCTCTAGGGCTGCTCTGAGGTAGAAAAAGACTCCCTGGTCCAGAAGGTGCTGACCCTTCTCCCACAAAAGAGCCACAGCCCCACAAAGAGCAACCAACATTTCTTCTCCTAAATTGACATAATGGCTGTCATTTTTCAATTTGCAGGAGGGAAAAAAGAAATATAGATAGGATTTGATCAATTTCAAGTCTTTCCTCCTATAATTTTTTTAAACCTTTGGCACCTGCTGCAGCTTGTATGCAAATGAGCTCCCACAGATGGCAAAATGAATGAGCGAGCAGAAAATGAATATGAACAGAGAACCTTGAGATGTGATTTCATAAAATTATTTTATGTGTGCAGTGATTTTGAGGGCTGAGGAGACCTACAGACATAGAAAGCAACCCACAGCATCGCTTGGCAAACAT